GCGCACAGCCCACGCGGGAGATCTTGAGTCTGCAGGCCAAAAGGGATATATATATATAATCATCGTAGATCAATATATATATATATGTGCTTTTGATGTTCACTTGTTACACTTGGAAACATAATAATCCTTGTCATGACCGGCTTTACAACATTGGCATCGGCTTCACAACATTGTCATCGGGATTCATTGTCATCGAAGAGCTGGAGAAGAGACACGTATCTTGGAAGGTTCGTCAACAAGGCAGATGCATGATGTTCTTCGATTGATAATGCAAGTGGTGTGATGTTGACGCGACGAAAGCTCTATTTTTTGTGCGTGTGGGGTTAGGAGGGGTGGTTTCGTTCTTCCGTATTACTGGCTTGTAGCACGTTGCACGCACGGTTTGAGTATTGGATTGGTGCTACATGAAGAAATGTGTTGTCAGAAGGGGGTTGGGTGGGTGGGTGGGTGGGGGCGGGATAATGACGTTCATGTTGCAGTTGCGCACATGGTTCAGGTATTTGGTTGATGCCACAAGCAGATACGCGTTGCAGATGTAACAAGGGTCACGCAGCACGCAGCGAGCAACACAGTGTCATACATTGCAACATTGCTGGAACCCAAAAAGATGATAGTTGCTGGAAACCTGGCTGTGCAGAAGTCTGATTGAAAAACATTCGCCGGTGAAGCACTTGGCAAAGGCGTTGGTCACCTTCAAGAAAATGTTATGAATCAACTTGAGATGGGACTCAACCTTTTGATCTTCCATTTTAAGAAACGATGCGACACCTGCATCGCGCACGCGTTTTGACCTTCAAAACGCGCGACGCCTGAGTAGGGCCGATCCCTAGTTTATGGGTGTATTAGATTTGGAAGTCTAGAAGATGACCTTCTCTTATGAACCGTTGCCCTTCGGGGGCTCCACTGAGTCACTTGGAGGACCCATCGACTGCATCCTGCGCACAGTGCGTGCGGAGGGCGTCACAGGCTTGTGGAGAGGGAACTTGAGCACATTAGCGCGAGAGGTGCCAGGGAATATGGCCTCTCAGACTGACATGGAGCTGGCTTGCAGGATGTTCATATATAACATAACAGGAGATTGACCCACTGAGCTTTTTGTCCTGCAATCCATTTCCGGAATAATCGTTTCTTTTCTTATTACTTTTTTAAATCACCAGTTTGGACCCCTAGTCGTCATCCTCAAGTGGACTGAGCATGAATCGGCCCACTGAACAACAGAAGCTTGGTCCTGTGTTTGGATGGTACCATGTCCTAGGTGGCACGATGTCCACCTGTTTATCGTTTGATACGACAAAAAGGCTACCCCCAAATGAGATAGAAAGGTGAACCCTATTTGGATGTGTTGTTTCTATCCACATATAATCACACACACACATGTATACATATATATATATAATGTCGATGTTTTTTCCCATTTGGGCTCCACCCATCCCATCCGAAGACTCTTTCTGAGTCGTCCGAGGCCTGGTTTGGGGTCTATGAAGCTGGCATGAGACTCTTGGCCACCAGGGTTTTGGCTCTCCTCTAAACTCACCGAGTTAGCTTTCAAAAAATCCCAGAAGTTGGTTTTCCAGGGAACTGCACCCGTTCTTCTAAAGTGCGATGTTACTTGGGGGAGGAGTGAAGATTCCTTTGGCATGTGTTGCTCACAGCGCGCCGCTGTGAGTATCGCCGCTATACATCACTATATAGATACACTGGCGCCCGCTTCACATGTGATCGGCCAGTGTACCAGTGTACTTGATTCTTCTTTGACCAACATTTGCGGCCACACGCCGAACCAAAAGACGCATCCTCTTGCGGGCTTTCTTTTGGAATCTTTGGGATCATGGACTGGCTTTCTCGACCTTTTGCCTACACAACCCTGGAGGATTGAGAGTGAGAGAGAGAGAGAGGACAAGCTGATGCCGAACAGGTGTGACGAGGGGGTATCTCAGATCTCTCCGACTTTTCAAGTGGTGAATTTCCGTCTATCCAACCCATCTGAAAGGAGGCTAGTCATGGTATATACTGTATATATATATATACATACATACGGTAATTGAACAAAAGCTCGACGTGGGTGCGTTGCAGCTGGTGGTTTGGGGCCAAATCACTGGAGATCACCACTAATCACCCCCCAAGTACTGACTGATATTGCTGCTAGCTGGCTAGAGTTACAGGTCGCAGAATCACGAGTGGCACACCAGCCGTGCATCGCATCATGTCACACTGTGCTTCCTATGGGCATTTTGGACCCATCAGTGTTTTGTGTGCCAAGGATATCCGCTTCGCAAGACTACCCGTTGGACCCAAGAACCTTCTTCTTGCTAATCTCGCACCATGAATGCATCACAAGGCCTTTTTGGACTGGTTGCTTTCCTCCCCCCCTTCCGAACACCGTTCAGGACTGGTTCAGGAGGCTCAGCAGTTGGAAAAGAAGAAGGACGTCGCCCTCCAGTGGTCTGCCCTGTCGGGCTCCGCGGCGGGCGTGGCCTACTGGGCCCTGCCCTTCCCTGCTGACACCGTGAAGTCGAAGATCCAGTCGCCGCCTTAGCGGTCGGAAACACCGTGACTGAACCGATGGACGAGGGTTGGGGATGGTCCGGTTGGCGATGAGTGGTGATTGCCGTATGATTGAACCTCTTCCAGGATGGGATGGGATATGCTGGGATGATTTGCTCTGCATTCTCTACATCCAAAGCAAGAGTTTGCATCATGTTCGACCGCTTGAACCACGGGGTGGCGCCTCTTTCTATTGACCGCTCTACTTCCTCCGCTTCTCCGATCGCCACTGTCAGGACGGATGCACGATTCCAGAGCCAGTCTTTCATCTCGGTCTTCAAGACCATCCTCAAAGAGGACGGGGGGTCATGAAGATCGGAGAAGTCTGGTTCTTCATTTGTCTTCCATACCTTGGACTGGGACTCGCATGGGTAACTGGTGGTCCGAGTTGGTGAGGCAAGCCTGGGGCTTGCATCATGTTACATCTGCTTCCTGGTCACAAGCTGCCCAGTTCGGTCCGCAAGGACTTGTCAGGAAGGAGAGAATGAATCATGGACCAATTGCATGATACCCCCTGCTGTCATGCAAACATTGGATTCAAGCAAGCAATACTATGCAATCTGAGGGACGCCCTGGTCTTGAAGGAATTGACTTCCAGGAAAAAGTCACACAGGGTGTTTTGGGTGCCTCGAATCGAATCTTTAGAAAAGTTGAGACCGGAAAAGGCCGAAGAATTGTCGACCTCCTCGCTCCTTGGAGTCTTTTGGGCATCTCGAGGGCTCGTCTGCAGTTCTTGCCTCTGAAGCATGGATAGCCCTCACCTTGAAGGGGGGTCTCCTTGATGCACCGATGTATGGAATCAACACATTGGAAAGATGTAAGGATGTAAGGAATATACATCTGATGTTAAGATGTAAAATCCTTGGTCCAAAGATGTATGATGTATGCGTTCGTTTGCGGTTCCGTTTCGGTCTTCCTGGGATCGCCTGCTTCGGGTCCACCCTTCTATTCGCCCCGAATGGGCGCTATTCGCGTCGACTCGATCGACCAGGAGGGCGTCAAAGGTCTCTACAAAGGTTGCGGGATCACCTGCCTTCGTGCTATCCCTTCCCACGCGTTGATCTTCTACTTCTACGAGGTCTGGATGGTTTGCCGGTCCCGGGGTCACTGGAAAGATGGGGTTGGAAGATGCGGTTGGTGGACCTGGATCACTTGCCCGTGGTACATCCCCAAAACCCCACCCAGCCGCTTTGGTGGGGCAGGTTTCCTGGGTCAACTGACCCGTGCAGGTTTCGTTGGCTGTCAGTGTCTTTCCCTACGATTGTCACCCGGGTCTTGAGAGGGATGGGGTCCCAGTACAACTCTGGAGATGGAACTGCCGAACTGCCCCACCGGCAGCAAAGGAGAGTACATACATTTGCAACACCTGGGGAAACCGTTCCGGCAACCAGGGCATCACGTGGCTTTGGGGAAGCAACAAGCAAAGAACAATGACAATGACAACCACCAGTCTAACACGTTGTTTTCACCAACAGGTTTACCTGTGAGGGAATTCTTGCGCCTTTGAAAGGGTGCTTTTGCTGGTCGTAGGGTTTTCTCCACTTGTCTCCGGTTTGCTTGGGAGGCGGCGTCTCTGGTTGTTTGCGGCTGTCTTCGGGTGTGCTGTGTCTCCTGGTATGCTGGGGTTCTGGCTGTCTCCAGTTGTCTTTGGCCGTCTTCGTTTGCATAGGACATCAGGATTTGAAGTGGCGTTCGTTCAGCACAAGAGCCTAGACTCATGTGACGCTCGTAAAAAGAATCACTATTTTTGCAGGTTAGTTTTCCCGTTTTGGGCCTACGGTGGCTCAGAACGTTGCTAACTCAAAGCTGTATCGGCTTCGAGTGCTGCGAGTGTGGCAGGTGGCGGACCGCTTCTTTTTGAGATTCTGAGCGTGTCCGGACGAGCCTGTTGCGAAAAAGAAGGGTTTATCCATGCTGCGCGGCGCACACCAGGGTGCTTGGTCGTCTAAGTTTGAGCGTGGCCCTCATCGGACTAAACATGTTTCAAACATTGTTGGCAACGAGAACGATTTCTTTCTGGCACAATTCCGTGAGGTTTATGCAGTTTATGCAACCTCACAGTGCCCAGCTAACACCCACGAGAGTAGTTATATAAGTCTTTTTTTTGGGTGTGGTTTTTGAAAGTGTCTGGGTCAACACAAGTGCTTGTGAAGAATAAGAATTGGGGTTTCCTTTCATCTTTAATGACGAGAACTGTTGCGGGCTCGAAGAAGCAACGGCGGAGGCCATTGCTTCTTCACATTGAGGGCCAAGGGGTGGGGGAGGTTTCTCTACCTCTAAGGGCAAACGGGTCAAACGTGTAGGTTGTCGGGGAAGGAAGCTCGCTGGAAGGAAAAGACCATGAAGGAACCGGAATGGAGAATATCCTTCATGCTCATTTGTATCTCTTCCACCCGTGCAAGATTCGTGAATTGAATGCAACGACGCAACTACGGAATCTTCGAAGGTCCAATTTCCACAGGTTTTTCGTTTCACTTCCCCACGCATAGACCTCTGGGCTGCCTCACGTTTCTCATTGCAATCGGCTGCATAGACTCATCAAAGCTCCGTAAAAACATGTTTCTTTTTTTTGTGACTTCTGAAGATCTTCCTTCTCTTTCTCCTTCTCTTCTTCTTCTTCTTCCTCTTCCTCTTCCTCTTCCTCTTCCTCTCTTTGAGCATTCTGAAGGATGACATGCCAGGTCCCTGCCTCCTTGACCAGCCGCAGAGTGGCCATGCGACACATCTCACCTGGGTGTGGGGCCTCGGTTTGACCGGCTCCAATGGTCTTCTGTTGTGGTTCATCCTTCTGAATGAGTATGGGTGGATCTGGAAGATGGCTTCATTCCGGCTTCCCTCCACAGCCATCTGACCGGTTTTGGTTGGCAGCCGGAAGTAGGAAGATGCGATGGCCGTGTGCCGCGGGCGAGGTTTACACTTATAGAACCCGCAGATCCCCTTGCCACCTTGAATCTCGCAAGATAGGCACATTGCCCATAATGTTATCCATTTCTTGCTGTGTGACATGTCGCGTTCCCTACAGTCTCTTTGCCAGATGGGGAGAGAAAGGAAAGGAGAAGAAAAAAGGAGCATATAAAAGGAACGACAAAAACACAAAGAAGACGAGAAAGAAAGAAGAGGGGGCCACGAGGGGAATTAAAGAGCTCTAAATGTGAAGCTCCGAACACAAAGGACAGTGAGACCCCAAACCGAGGTTCTTGGCTGAGCTTCAGAGCTTGAGAATGGTGAAGCATCTGTTGATGCCGGGTGCGTGGAAGACATCCGGCAAACCATGTGGGTTTGCCACAAAACTCACATTGGCTTCCATCAAATGCCGGTCTAAGAATTCTTTGAACAGTCAGGGACTCTTTCGACCACCTTGTCTTCTTTATTTCTTTGGGGAACTAACACTGAACCGGCCGCATTCTCCTGGAGCCGGCCGCGCCCCTCCGAAGCCTCAAAGACAGGCAGCAAACCACCTGGGAGAGAGAGAGAGAGAGAGCTCGACCGCGTTGAATCCGCCCAGAGCTTCGCACACCACAGGGCTCGGTCAGCACGAGCCTTGCTTGTGGGGGCAAACCCCAACATCAAGAAGCACCGATTTGGAGTCTTACTGTAAACTTGTAGAGACTTCGATTGATCGATGTTTGCGTGATATTTTTCAGCGGGGGTGGTGCAAGAATGTTGTGCAGCCTTTTCTGCCGGCTGGGGGTCTCAATGAAACCCCCAACGAACCTATGCCATCAATGCCATCTGCCAATGTTGACCGAAAACAGCTGCGTGCAGTGCCCATGGGCCGGTGGTCCCAAAGATGCTGCAAGGATCAGGGAGCGTGGCTGCAGCTGCATGAAACCACATTTTTTAAAAGTGGTGCCTTGATACTGTGACACTCTCATTCTCATTCTGCACGAAGTCGGGAGAGCTTTGGATATATATATATATATAATCTGTGGGATGTGAAGGTTCAAAATTCACACGTCCGAGCATCCCCATACTGTGGGATCGGTTGGCCGTTTGGTTTTGGGGTCAAATGGAGTACGGGCACTAGCTGACACATCCAAGTTGCCTTTCACTGGGTGGCAGTCCAAGACATAACTTTTTCAGTAGGACCCTGTTGATTGATTGGACTTTTCTGATGTGTGGCGTGGCGGGATGAGACCCCAACATCCTCACTTACGAGCGACTTGCCCGACAAGGTTTGACGCAGGCGACTGGCCGGGAGTCTTTGGGCGGAAGATTTGGAAGGCTCGAAGCCTCACACATCCATACTTAATACTTGCGACTTGCCACTATGTTCAGCCCCAAAACATCACGGATCCTCGGGGCTCCTTTTGCTCTCGGCCTTGGCTCCAACGCGCCGAGCCCCGCAGGGCGTGTTTCAAGGTTTTTCAGCCGAGCTCGGCTGAACCAAAAGCGCCATGCCGAGTTCCCGGAGGCGGCGGCTTCCTCTTCCCCTGGTGCTGGGCGCGCTGGGTGCGCTGGGCGGCCTTGTTGGCTTCGTCTCAGGGCGAGGCCCCGAGAGCACCGTGGAGCGCCGTGAGAGGGCGCGGAGCCTGATGCCCAGGAAGGCATTGGAGCTTGAGGAGCTGGGGGGTCCTGCAAAAAGGAGCTTAAGCACAGCTCCTTTTGTGATGATCGTTTCAAGTGCTGCTGTGTGCTTGGTTCTGCTGTGTCACTTCTTCGGTCAGCTCCATCTGAACCAGGGAAGAATGGGACAGACCACCGCTGAGGGATTAGTGATTAGACTCCGGATCGCTGGATCTCCCTGATAATCCTATGCAAAAACCAAACCTTGAAAAGGTTTTGGACTAGCTTCAACCTGGCCTGCGTGGCCGGCTTTGGCTCCGGCAGGAGGTGTCTGCGCTCGCGCGGCCAGAGCTGCCGAACTCCACGGAGGCCATGTGCCGGCAGGCGGCTGAGGCCGTGATGCGCGCCTACCGAGACGGCTACACGCGGCAGGCCGTGCGGCTGCGGTTGGATGCTGCCTACAGTGGGCAGGAGGACTTGAAGCTTGGCAGGAGAGGTGCCGAGGTCAGACCACGTAGCGGTGCAGTGGTGCACCATTAGGTTTGGTGCTTGGAAGATGGGCAGTTGTCTTCGTCTGTAGTGTCTTGTCCGGGCATGGTGGGTGCCGACTACCATCTTTCGTGCTTGTTCACCACAGCCATGCAAGTGATGACAAAAATCAGGACGAAGCGGAACGAAAGGACAATGTGACAAGAGTTTTACCGTCTCATGGCCCTGTACTAAGGAGTGCTTTGCTCAAGGCCAGCTTGCCGTTGGCCAAAAGTTTTGCCACCAAGCTGTGGAATGGAGAGTACCTCAGGCAAGTGTCCCTAGGCAGACAGGTTTGCTGAACCAAATTGGCAGACCAGACAGGTGTGCTGTGATTGAGCAGTCCATTTTCTACCTGACGGGAGTGTCCCTTGGTGGATGCTGTCCGTCTCCCAGAATCCGAAGAACCCAAAGATGGAGGTGCGCAACCCATTGTGGAACTGTCAGTGGAACCCAGCAATTGTGGAGGAGGATCATGAGTGTCCAGGCATTTGTACTCTTTGAGTTCAGCAACAAATAACCCAGATTGCCAGTGGTTGTAGATCAACGTAGTCGTTGCCCACAGCTGGATTATAAGCTGGCCACTGGAAACTGCACTCCAAGGATTCCCAAGACGGTCTGCTAAAGCACCAATCCGCTTCCCACCAATCCTTTTTGAGGCTTGTCACTTTCCACCTGGTCGACCAAAGGGTGGACAAAAAGATCCTTTGCCGCTATTTCTAGGAATGAGGACCCAGCCAGCCATCATGTACCAAGCACAGATATGGGAGTAGAGCCCAACCTCTCAATATAATAAGGGCAAGAGAGGGGCAAGTGGCTTTCCACTGCCACGCGAGGAACTGCCGTACCGCCAAACTGAGGAAGACATCTCTTGTAGATGAGGATGTGACCACCTTGTTGTACAGAGAGGCGGAGAATGCCTTGATGGATGCTGCCGTGCTCTATTTACCTTCCAGAGAAGTAGTGACTTCGCCCAAGCTCCTCGAATGGATGAAGGAGATGTCTGTAGATGATCAGATTTCGATATTGAGTTTTGTTGGCTGGTCGGGGATTATATACTTGCTTTCGGGATTTTGCTGTCGGATTCTTCTCTAGTTGAGGTGGGAATGACTTGCATGTTCATTTGCTCTTTGTTGGTGCGGTGTGCTTGGGTCTTTGTGTGTTCTTTTGATGGAGAACCGCCTTGGACGACTAGAATGTGTGCCTGGTCGTAGCACCAAACTACAACTGTAACCTATATACAGAGGCAGGTTGGTCGTTTGCAGATGTCAACGCCCAGCATTTTCCTATGCGCTCGCTGCGCGACATCCCTGGATGTGGTCGACTCACCGCTTGGTCGACTCCATTCCTGGAGGACCTGAGCCCCTGCGCTCACATTGGTGGGGGGAAGGAACCAACCCACCGGAAGCCACGCGAAGCCACCGGTCCCTACGTGAACCAACCCACCGGAAGCCACGCGAAGCCACCGGTCCCTACGTTTCTTTTTGGGCTGTTCCGGGGTACTTCAGGTGCACATTGCACATGTGGTTTAGTGGTGTGTTGGTTTCGAGCTTCCCCATACTGTAACAAGAGGATTTAGCAGATCCATCTCATCAGCACGACCAGGTTCAGCAACTTCTTTCAGAGCATGGGCGATCGTTTGGTGGTGGTGACCAACCCCGAGAATGCGGCAGCAGGGTGGAGAGTGGAGAACATGGGGGCCGATTTCTATGACAATTCAGATGTCGGGTGGCTTGGTAGCATCACACCTTTGCCTTTCCAAGTCGCCAGAGATTGAAGATTTGACCCTAGAAAGATGTTGGGGAGAGTTTTGACGGCGTCGGTGTTTGCTCTTTTTTGGTCGTCAGCATGACCCTAGTTTGGTTACTGTTCCGATTGGTGGTGAAGTTTAGGGTTGATTATATATACACTGGCTTGGACTTGCCGTTGCAGCTGCATGTGAGGCTGGAGATTTGCAAGGTCTTTGCTCAGCAGAGCTACTATTACCAGCTAGTTCCCATCAACAACTGGCAAGTGACCTTTTTCCGCGCCTACCCCTTTCCATGGGAATTGTGGATTGAGGACCAAATTTGCACACTGCAAGGGTTGGAGGGAGACTTAAGCAATAGTCACAGTTGAACTGATGGCAAGCTTGACAGGCTACAGCCTCTGTTTGGAAGAGAGTGGTTCACTTGGAGACTTACGGCAGGTTGCTTCTAAAGCACCTCCAGCAGTGTGTTTCCATAAGAGGCTGGTTCCGACCACCAATCCACTGGTTTGGGGTCCGCGACTTCCGCTGCGCCGCACAAGAGATATTCTCACAGGACTTGAACTACAACTTGGTGAAGCTAGGCCAGGTGCAACTTGTGGTCGGAGGGGCTCAGGCAGCTCATGCTTGGCTACTACCGGCCATCACGCACTTGCTTGGGTGATGGCCTGACTTGGAAGCAGGGAGCTCCCAGAATCTCAGATGTCCTTTAACACAAGGCAACTTCCAATCAATGTAGACCGTCAACGCACTTGGGATAACTCCCAATGTAACCATGAATCCCAGGTCCCCGTTTTCGAGAAGACCTCCATTTATTTTGCTTTGGCCCATTGAGATCCATGCCGGAAGGAGGTGCAACCCCCCAGACTGGATCAAGCCAGTCAGGCTGTTGCAGCACTGTTGAGGTGAAAGTGGAAAGACTCCTCACTGTTGGGGCGTCCTACGGGCCTCGCCCCGGCCGCAGGGGAGTCGGAAACGAAGCCCAACTACGATCAGATCTTAGCTTGGACCGAGGCCTACGAGGACCGAACGGACCACGGAGGGTTCGGCGGAATCCAGTGCAGGTGGCAAAGCCCCATGGAAATCGCGTGTCTGGAGCGTTTTCCATTGGTTTTGTGACTCTACACGAACCAGCTGATCAGGGGAGGGGAGTGTGGGTGGTTCTGCTGTCATCGGCTGCATAGAACTTGTCATCGGCTACATCATGGGAGGCGTGCCGAACCACCCGATCGGCGCATTCTTTGATTTGGGCTTTTGCAATCGTTTTTGGGACCTTGTTTCTAGTCCCGAGCCGGGAGCCGTCCTGTGGTGGGAACCATTAGGCCCTATACTGCGGCTGTGACTGCCACCCAGAAAGGCCTACCGCCTGGTTGGTGGACCTCCCACAAGTCCTTCATACTTTTCACTCCATACTGACCTGCTGGGATTCACTTCGGTCGCGGAGGAAAGCGCCGGCGTTAGAGCTTTCCAGAAGGTGGGGAAACTTCTGCAGGACAATCAGACGCTCGGTGGGTTTGGAATGTGGGGGGCTTGGGGCGGACGGTGAGGAATTTGATTTTCAGGAGCTCTTGGTGGAAGTGCGCCATCGTCATGTTGAGGCAGAGTTGGGGAGGGTGTCCAGTAGTGTAAGTCTTGAGACATATAGGAAAGAAGGCTAGATGGGGTTCTTCCAGGCCGGGGTAGGCCTTTGCAACAATTACCAGAAGCATCCAGAAGCCAGTGTTTGCCCTACGCTTGCCCACAACCCAAGTTGACCATTTGCCATGCAAAAAGGATCTTCCACCTTGACTTGGGGGTTATTTGTTTAGCGATTCACTCGAGCAGAAGGGAATGGTTGCATTGGCGCCCGGAAATGCGGACCGTGAAGATGGAGGACGGCTTCTCTCGCGACGTGCCCGTCGCCTCCCTGAGGCAGAAGCTGGATCCCCTGGATCCGGACGCTTCCCTGGCCTTATCAGGCTCCTAGCGGCCCTGAGCTTGCAACGTGTCACCCAGGTACTCAGCTGGCGGCTTCAAATGTGAGTTTCAGGGGTTCGCCACCTTGAAACGAGGCAGGTTAGCGCATGTTGGCACCCCAAGAAAGCCAGTGAGGTGGGGGGAGCCTTGCGCATCTCCTTGCTTCAGCCCACACATTTTGTTCAACCAGTGTAGCCAAGGAGTGGTGTGGTTTCCGGAGAAGTGATTCACACATGGAGCACTTTGTCACTGTCAGCTGGGCATCACCTTCCTAGTTTCTCGTTTTCGGGCACCTGGGCACCTGGCATCCTGGGCAAAGGCCGAGAAAGCCCCAGACTCCCAAGACCGAAAACGACCTTCCTTTTGCAAGGCCAGCCACTGTTTCCTCCTCACTTGAGAAGGTTCCCCAGGTTTTGAGTTTAAGAACTGGAAGACTGGCAGTGTTTGATCCAAAAACGCGCATAACGCCGGCCAATCTGAAGACTCTGGACCGAGCACAGCAGCATACCTCAGAAAGATACAAACATGCTCCTGAAATCTCCAGAACACCTGGTTCCGTGGTGAACTGTGTAGGAGGGACTGGCCGCCATCCATGTGTAGGCGTCTTTATAGCAATCGCTTCATGAGGGTCTTCACAAGGCGGATTCAGAAGCTACGTGCGATGTAGGCGTCCCAGTCTGCCGTGTGTCCTGTTTGCTTGGAATTTTCGGCTCCCCTTCAGCGCGGAAAGTGCTGGGGGCTGCCATGGGACAGAGAATGTCAGACACAACTCTCATACGATCCGCGTGAGGCCCCCCAAAAAGCCGCGCTGCTTCTTGGATGGAGGGTCGAGAAATGAGTTGGGGGCGTTTGGAGGATCATTTATCTCTCTCCGTCTCTATGTGTCATCCAAATCGTTTTAATCCATGCATCCCCAGCAAACTGGGTGTGTGGGTGCAAAGGGAAGTTCCGAACCACGACCGTGGTGCAGGCAAAAGCAAAGTGAAGGCGGGGTCGTGTTCTCTTTTCGCAGAAGCTGCGCCGTCCAGGTTGCCTGCCCAGTGATGGTTGAAGAGGTTCTCGCATTGGAGGCCGGAGATGCTGGTGATTGGCATTTGTTTGGAAGGGAGTAGCTCCTCTTGGCTTTTCTGCCAGGAGGTCCATCTCCAACAAACTCCAAACAGATCTCAAAGCATCGAAGGGTGTGCTGTTCTGCCGTAATTACAGGTCACTTGCCAACCGGAAAAAAACGCAATTGCTCTTTTTCTAAGCCTGGGAACTTTGTGCGGCGTGCAGCTCACCGAGGGCTTGGATCACGGCCATCCCTTTTGTGCCGCAGGGGTTGGGGTGCCAAGCCCAAGTCTGGAGAGCTGGCAGTGGCTCAAAACATGTAGGCTGTAGACTCCGGGAGCTGAAGTACATCCTCACTTGTGGTTGAGCACTTTATGCCAAGACATAGTTGATGTTCAAAACAGCTTCTACATGTATTCAGCTGGCCCTCACCACAAACTGACCAAAGTTTCTAGATTCTAGACCAATCTTTGCAAGTTACCCATGGACCAAACAAACAAAAATCCTTCATACAATGGGCTTATGATGCTGGAGGTAATGGGCCATGAGCCTGCTCCCCTGGCGCACCAGCCGATCCTGCGGACTGGCTCGTCAAGCCCCCCCAAAAAGACATAAGTTGCTGGTCACATGAAGCAACAAAAAGCCAGGTACCCTAGTGGGCCTAGTCAACATCCAGACTACCAAGAACGGAGACGTAGGGGATATTGACCTACTACGTTTCAATTTATATAATCTATATGTAAATTCTCTCCAACAGCTCTTTCAATCCTTTTTCAGGTAAGTAAGTCCCAAAAAAATCAAGATGGTCCTCGTGTCGAAGCGTCTCCTCGCAGGGAGGCGCGAAGAAGCACTCTCAAGCATGAAAAGCATCAAGACATGCAAGACAGGAGACTGGCGAGTCCACATATGGGAAGTACCACAAAAGTCCGAAGAGCTAGGCTCGAAAGGAGTTCAAGGAAATGATCCCAGCCTTGCGCCTCACATGGGCTCAACCTAAGAAACCCATACCCCCCCGTTCCCGCGCACTGTTCCTGCGGGCCGTTCCGCGCCAAGCGCGCTGAGTGGGATGGTGTGATGGCAAAGTGGGAGCCTTGGGCTGAGCAAAGGGGGCTGAGTCGCTGAGTCCAGAATGATTCCGAATAAGTCCAACAATCCATCCCCTCAATCCCCTCATTCTCAGCCGCACCCACGATCGAACATGGAACACTCTCCAAGCCACTCTCCACGGGCATTTGTTGGAAGGGAGCCCTAAAAATCTCGCCTGAGGAGTGCAGCAAATGTCTGGAGGACAATGAGGACTGGGAGGAGCTTTGCCAATGGTGCGACACCTGCCGCAATGAGGCCGACCCAGCCCGTCGAGGCTCGGAGTGGGGTGCTGTTGAAGGGCGATTCATGGAGGTTGTGACCATGAGGAATTCATGGTTTGGGCGTGTTGGTCTGGCCTAGCCAAGCCCAGCACAACTTTCCGCGTTTCAGACTGAGAAACCTATCCGGTGTTGAAGGTTCCTGACCAAGTGGGCGAAACAAAGCCGCGAACGATTCACGGAAGTCGCCGCTGTGCTACAGCACAGGCGCTCTCCTTCACAGTCACTGTGCAGAACTTGCTTGGGTCAGAGACCATGGAACTTCCGCGCCTGCCTCTTTGAGAAGAAACTACTGGGGGCCATTCTGCGTTTCCATGGTGGCCGTGGGTCATGGCACCCGGAGCACGGTTGACCCCTCCCTCGGTCAACCAGGTAAGACGCAACTGGACCCTCTGCCATGCGGCCATGCGTTGCTCGTTTGCCTAGAGCTATTGCAAGCAACCATGACAAACACATTCAAATACCATCACTACACTAAGATGGAGCCCTCCTGTTGCCGCAAGCACCGGCTAAGTTGAGTTTCCGGGGTGCGTTTCTGTCGCAAAGCCACACTGCGCAGCATCATCAACAGGGGATTGCTCGAGGCATACCCTGCTTTCGTACCAAAGCAGATCCAGCTCGCCCACACGCCGTGAGATTTTCTGACCCGGAGGCTATCCTCACGACAAAAGGCCACAGACCTGCTGTTGAAAGCAAATATGCCTTCCAAATCAAAACCTTTCTCATTGAGAGGAAAACTGGGATGATCACTAGCACCAACAATCATTTTTTCCTCCATGGCGGATGTGCACATAAGACAGTGCCCACTCAAGCGCTGAGCAAAAACAACATTTGGAGGAACGTTTGCAACGCGACGCACACCAGACTTTGAGCCATCCAAGGTTAAAGTCGAGGATACCTGGAGGGTGTTGTCTTGTAGGATACCTTTTCTCAGCCGCATGGCCGCACGAAGGCAACATTTAGAGGAGGAAAGAGCGATGGAGCAATTCGTAGCATACCTTTTGTGAGCCGCCAGGACGGGCGAGATTTCGGAAACCCATGAGCATAGCCATTCCAACATAGCGCACCTTTTGTGAGCCACCCGAGGTTGAACTTTGGAGATTTTAGGGGTTGAATCGTCGTAGGATACCTTTTGTAAGCCGCGCGAGGGCAAAATTTAGAGGAGGAAGTGCCATTGAAAACAGAGCATACCTTTTGTGAGCCACCCGAGGGCAGACTTTAGAAGCCTGTTGAGGGCCAAACTTAGGGCAGGAACCAACGTACCAGCGCTCCGAGGTTCACAAAGTGCTGCGCCTGCTACGAAATCTGCATTTCCAGCCATCCCAGCACCAAAATCCTTCCAAGATCATCAAATAGGGCAAGCAAATCAACATAGAGCCTGCGCGCCCGGGTTCCTCAGATTTGGCGCCAATCCTCCCAACCACCTCCAGGCCGCCCGGCTCCACCCAGCGAGCCGAGCGAGCCGCCGCTGCGGCCGCCCGGGGAGCCAGCGCCGGCAGCGTCGCCCTACAGAGCGCTGGATGTGGTGGCGACCTGGAACAGTCGGCGCAGGAGGTTGCTGGAGGCGACGGAGTAGGGGAAGTGAGCAGAGGGGCATGGATAAGGCCTATAGGGCCCAGAGTGATTGAATAATGCGCTGCAAGTATTTGCAAGTAGTGATCATACATGTGATAGATGGCGTAGGCATAGTATATATTTTGTTCGTTGGTGGCATTTGGTGAGAACATGGTTTTGATGTGCGGCATTGTGCAAGCGACTCAACGAGTGAGTGCTTTGCAAGTCGAGGAAGGACCTCCCACGCGGCCAGGAGCTGGGTTCAGTGGACTTCTTAGGGCCCACGGCGCGGCGCGCGCGGTTGAGGGCCTTGCAGCTGGAGTTCCACCCAGACAAGCACCCTGCAGGCGGTGTAGGGATCGTTCGGTTGGTAGCTGAGGGGTGTGGTAGTCATGCATTCAATGTGTGAGTTTAGTGAGCGGTGTATAGTAATTACAGTAGTTTTTTTGTGGATTCTACAGATCAACAACATCGAGCCTTGCGGTGCTTAGCAAGCAAGAAGGCGAGAGGCTGGCGAAAGTGTGCTTGCATTCCGAAGGTGTCATGTGATTGGGGGACACAGGTGCCGCACAAAGTGTTGGCCTCTCTTCCCATTCCGTCACCTCCAAACCGAAATCCATCCGTTCCTCCGAGGTGCTTCGAGCTGTTCCATCGTGTTCGATCGAGCTGCGTGCCGTGCGGGGCCCTGTCTTCAGGTGAGCAGCACTTTGCGCAGGAGATGTTCTTACTGGTCCAAAGCCGCTGGGAGGAGGACGAGCGCACACGCCGCCAGCGCCAGGAGGAACAGCAGCGGGCCGAGCAGCAGGCGGCGGAGCAGCTGAGGAAAGCGGAGGAGGCCTGGAGAAGGCAAGAGGCGCAGAAGGCCAAGGAAGAGGCAGGGAGATGCAGGGATCAAGATAGGTGGCGCTGGAGGCGATCAAACAAATTCCCGGAGAAGAGGCAGTATATTTTATCTAGGACAGAAGGATTTGAAGGATTTGACGGAATTTGTGAGAGTGGCTTCTTCAGCCAAGGATCTTTCAGCCAGGACCGAGTCTTCATT